TTTTATATATATATATATATATATATATATATATATATACACAGTGCCTTGCAAAAGGCCTCCCTCTCCCCCTGTGCTGGTAATAAACTTTAGGTATTTTCTTCTGAAAGACATAACTCAAATGGACAAAAATATTTATTATATTATTCTCAGACTAGTTTCTATAGATCATAAAGAACAAAAGGTGCATTGTTACCCAATTTAGTGATATAACACAAAAAAATCTTGAATGTTGAAAAACTTACGAGCAAATCATTGCTTTAGAAATCTGATATTTTGTGTATGAAAGTCTTCTAATGTTTGCTGATAATCTGCAAAATTTCTTGAAGATATGCATACTATATTAAAAGTTATAGTATGAAAACTATAACAAGCACAAAATGGTTATAAGGTTGGTTCCTGGGACTGAGTCCATAATGACAGAGTACCCACATTGTTCAATCCATCCTTTCTAATATGGGAGTTTTTATACTGGTAGTAGTGTGTACACACACACATTTAAAAGTACAGATCATCAATCTCATTGGAATCTTAGATAAATCTTTTTTTTCTGATTCTAAGGGGACTTACACTAGCATAATCAGTCCTTCCTTAAGTAACCTTCAACATTATTTACTGTTTGTATTAAGATATTCTTAGTTTAATAGTGATGTTAACATATTTATTTTTGTAGCTGAGAAAATAAGTTGTTTTATTGTCTTTGAACCTAACAGCTTTTTTTCAATCAGGAGTAGGATAGACTATTCTTAATCACATCAAAACTTTAACAAAGATTTTTCTTGGGATCTAGGAAGATATAGCAGGATACCTCCAGTCCCATCCTGACTTCAAACCCAACCCTCTAAAAAATGTCCTTAGTAAAGCAGAAAAAGAATTAAAGGATCGTTATGATGGAAAACCTGAACGTCCTCCAAAGTAAGATCTCATTTACATCTTGTTATTGTTTCGAATACATTTCAAAATCGTAATTAAGTGTTTCCCTTTTTAACCGCTTGCCATATTATATTAGGCAATCTTTTCTGAAACTATTTTTTAAGAAATTTCTAAGAGTTGCTTGTTTTATCTTACCTTCAAGAAACAAAATTAATAAGTTAAAAGGCATTCGTGCTGCAGTATATATTATGGTTGTATTGAATAATGATATTGACTTTATTTTTGATAGAAAAACATTGTTATATATAAAAACATAACTATGCAATAACAAGTATTATATAAAATTGTTATATTTATGTTATATAAATATGCGTGTGATATCTGTTAACTTGTAATTATCTAGTTTTGCAATGAAGTACCTATTAGTGGTTGTTCATATAGTGATAAATTATTTTTACTTGTAAGATTTTAAATGCAATTCTTAGACACTTGTGCTATTTCATAAAGTAAAAATATATTTTCTTTCTTGCATTCAGTTCAGGATACAGCCTGTTTTCTCGAATTATGTTGCGGGAAATAAAGGATGTGCCATCTAAAGAAAAGATGGCAGAAATATCAAAACGTTGGAAGTTGCTCACTGATGCTCAGAGAGAGTCCCACAACAAACAAGCTCGAAAGGTAATTGTTAAATTCTGTTTATCATATTTTCATCGTTTTCATATAAGCACATTTAAAGAATTAATTTCTGTAACTGAAAAGTAACGACAGAGTTCTCATATTGTTCAATCCATACTTTTTAATATGAGAGTTTTTATACTAGTATTCAACTCTCTCAACACGAGCTTTGACTGACCACATGACCTCTTTGTACTCCTTTAACTCTTCCAACAAGGGGTTGGTCGATTTGACCGAGTCACGTGACCTTCTGTACTCATTTAAAGCTGACATCAATTTAATACTCATAATGCTATATATTTGGTATATCTTCACGAAATGTGGCAGTCTTTCAGTAAACATTACTAGTCTTTTATATACATGAAATTATATTTTTATTGAAGTATTTTAAATAACCTAAAATAAAATTTGTTGAGTATTTGTTTTGAATAGTCTGTGTATAAAGTGATTTTCATGTTAAGATTAAAAATACTTCATCTCAAGAATTTCAAATTTCATTTGTGTAATCTCTAAAACCTCCTAAATACATTTTCAATGTTT